ATCCATCAATAAATGGGCTGTGCTTTATGTTAAAAAATCTAGATATACCTATTATATTCCTTGTTTGAATTCGAATGTCAAAAAAATTAATTTTTTATTACATTCATTTCAACAAAAAAAAGAGAAGACTCTCGATTCAAAAGTATTTTTTTATATTTTTGTTACTTCATAACTGTCATTTCTAAATCGATTTGGATTTTTTTTTATTTATCTAAAAGGACTCAAATTACAAAGTCGGTTAAATAGTTTAGTTCTTATATTAGAATGAATTGAAATCAGTGTTTTTTTTTTATGGAACAATATCTTACATTATTTGACAGTGGAATGACTACATAATTTTGTTAATAATACTAATGGTAATGATTTCTATTTAAACTTACAGGTTTAAATACAAATCATTACCATGCATCATCATCATATCGGCCGTTAACTGTCCACTGCCTGTCCACTGCCGAACATAGGCCTCCCCTTATTTAGGTATATGCCAGTAGTTGTCACACTTGGCAAGCAGGTTGACATCTATAGTTATGCTTTTGATGATGTTTTAAGAGGGACACTGTTGCTAATTCCTTGACCATCAAATTCCCTTAGTTGGCTCTTACGACTCCCACAGGAAGGAAAAGGTAGCCCATTCTATGCCGGGGTCACAAGGCACTTTTAAATATGAACCTATACTGCCAGAAAAATTTAATTTTTCCAGATAAATATCGGAAATGATTAAAAATTATTGTCTATTCATACAACTGTATAATACACTCCTTTCTGATAAAGAAGGTTTACAATTTTTTGTGTCACTGTTTTACTCATGTTTTTTAGGAAATTATTAGTAAAAATTTATTTTAAAAAAAGGTATATTCGAGTAAACTTGCTAATATTATGTATTCACAATGAAAGTGTTTCAGTAAACAGAAGCGTAATATTTAAGGGTATGCCCTGAATAGCCCGTTCTCATCTCAATGGCTGACATAGCCATCAATCAAGGTGTACTCCAACAATTTTATTCAACACCATTCTCTTGTTAGCGAGAAAATATAAATTAATAACGTGTGTGATGGTACAAGGTTTAGAATTGCTTTTAGTCATGTAATATTTTGGAAAAAAAATCATTCGCAACTTTGAAAACAATGTCGTTTTTTATGATACAATATGTAGTAAGCTGACGACCCACCTAATGTAAAAACCTACACATAACCTAACACCTAAAAAGTAGCAATCGACATTATAGACATGAATGTCATTGAATACACTGTGATACTTATGCATTGCCATTCCTGAGGACGAAGGTATTATATCTGCGTACCCTATAATTTTACTGCCATATCTCATTCTTTAAACTGAAATACAGTCATGAAATCACAACTGTTTCATCGCAGAAACATGAGTGGCACAGACGAATTTTTTACAAAGTCTCCCGCTAATGTCACTTAATTGCTATTTGCATTCATGAATTGAAAGCTAACTTCTCTAACTGTTAGTCCTTATTAACATGATAGTATAGAATCTATATTATAAATGTTAGGATTTTACTTTGAAAATAACAGTAATTTCAATCATAACAAAGTTAATAGTTGTTTAAAAATATGCTGGTTTTTGTTGTTATATATTATTTTTTATATTACTAATATATAATTCAAAGATGAAAAAGAAGAAAGAAGAAGCGCCGATTTAATTTCAACATACAAGTTTTTGGGTTAATTTAAAAATGCCGTCTGTTGACTTGATGTACTTTATATTTTGTTATAATTCATTTGTTTTTTAATTTTCTTTTTTATAAAGAACTACATCTATCAATGTATGTAAAAAGTTTCATTTTGAACAATACTGTCGCACTATTCATTTTAAAAAAATGCGGTAGGAATTGTTTCTTTACGTATACATATCATAAATATAGTATTATTTACATATAACATATATTAGTTAGACGGTATGTTTATTTGCTGATATCGTGTATTCGATCATTTGAAATTTTTAGTCACAATATTCTTACTGATTTTTTTAATAATACAGGACCAAATGAGCATGTAGTTCACCTGATGGTAAGTAACTATCCTCGCCCATGAGTACCTGGCTAGCCCTGGCTGGCACCAAAAACTTTGTTTGTGTCAATTTAAATTTACAACTAACACGCTGGTGATGGAAAATACTTTTTTTTTATAACACAAGGGGTAACTGAGCATGCGGGCTATCCGACAGTAAGTGACTACCGCTGTCCATGAGCACCCACAAAACCAGAGGAATAACTGCCCTTTTAAAAAGGAATGTGCTCTTTTATTGAAGGTTACGATATCGTATCGGTTCGAAAATACTGCTGCTGGAAGTTGATTTCAAAGTATAATTATGCATGGAAGAAGGTGTTTTGAAAAACACACGTTAGAAGACCGCCATTTATCCTGATGGTTGGGATAAAAATCCGAATCATCCAAATAACAACGGTAAGTCAGCACCTTGTTACATTGCAATCTTATATGCGAGGAGAAATGTGGACATGTGTGAAATGTGAATAGGACTCTATTTTCCGTGCTTAGCCAAAAATGTGGACATATTAAGCGTTACGTCCAACTCTGATTATCTGACATTATAATTGTGAGCATTTTTATTTATTTTATTATTTAATACGTTATGTCTATAATACATACAAATTCTGTATAAACGTAGTCGGTAAATACAAGAGCGAACACACTTCGAGCTGGAGATACAACTCCAACTAAACTTTCTCATATATTTCCTAGTTCGTATGAGTCACAAGCGATGCTTATGAAAACCGTAACTTGGGCCAGGAGAATTAATGCAGTCTCATATTTGGCTTTTAATTAAATTCAGTGACAAATTTACCACAACACTCCCATTGCATTGGTCACGAGCAAATTATGTGCATACCAAGTATATAGTAATTGGACAAGGTAAATGATTTTGAAAGGACTCTGAATGGGCCATTATTTTCGATGAGCAGGTCATCTATCACGTTGCGGGGGCTTTCAGCGGCCTGTAATGAACGGGCAGCAAACAAAACAGACCTTTCGTTTATATATACTCATATATATGTAAACAATATCAGTATTTTGTCAAAACACGTACATTTTTCGTAGACATCTTTATAAGAACATTATGTAATTTTTACCATTTTTTTCAAAGTGGAGACCGTTTGATTTTTTATCTTGTTGTGTGATATTTTCATTTATGCCGAACCAATTTTAGGTAATTCCTTTTATAATCAGTAGTGTTGATTTAACTTCCGTATTAGTAAGAGTACTAATATGGAAATTAGTTTTAGATACAAATTTTTCCACGATTCAATCGTAAACCGTTTATTTGCGAAACAAAATAGATATACTAAGACATAAAATGTGGCATTGCAATAGTATACTTATATAATCTAAAAGAATTAATAAAAATAATAATAAATAAGTTATTTATTTTAAATATCTTTATTAATATTATTAATGTAAAAGCAGTAAAACTAATATTAATTGGTACCTTTTGTTGTTTTAATTGTTTTTATTACATATTTGTCGTGCCTACCCATCATTTAATATTTTTTGATCACTCATTAAATAAATAAGTATTTAATACCTAAATTTATTAGACGTAACTTTTTCAAATGCGGGAATACAGTTATTACCAACAAAATGATAAAAAAAGATTAACAAAGTGCTGACAAAATAAACAACAAATCTGAATCAGTATTCTGTTACTTGTCTGACATAGCCTGGAGACGGGAAGATAATCTTGACAATTTGTTAGTGGTAGGCATTGTAGATAAAGCGATCACGCGGACAGGCACCAGTTGCTTCAGAACGAAAATAATATCACTTTATTTTAAGTGAATTTCAAAAAGAGAAGGTTCTTAGTTAGAAGTGTTTTACACACTTCGTCTTAGAAGTATTTCGTCACTTGAAAATATAGACATCTATGTTTTCATGAGTACGTTTAATGGTAAATGGATACTATAGCCTTTGAACACCTGTAACACCAGAGGTATCACATGCGTGTTACTCATCTTAATACGGCCTTATTAACAACTAAAGTGGTTTAACTCCTTCGATATTTTCATGTTGCAATGCATTGATTTTGTTAGGATAGAACCAGTGTACCAGCAGTGGCCGTAATGTACTCTTAATTCTTAATGCTTTACGGCTAAAAACATGAATAGGACAGACTCTGTTAAAACTTTGTGCTTCTCCAATCCAAATGCTATGTATATGCTTATTTTAATGAAGTATTATTGACATAATAGACAAATCAAATTATTTTCATATAATAAAATTTCATATTCAAATTATTCAATCGTGATCATGATGAAAATGTCAGTTATTATTATCATGATTTCTCATCATCGTTATTTCAGCCATTTACAATTCCCTTGCCAAATATAGATCTCCCCCATAGATCGTCATAAGATTCTTATTGTTCTCGTGCATTCAATGACTTTCTACATTTGAAGTCGTCTCTATCTAGTTACTAGGGCAAAAAAAAAAATGTAACAGTGCAACCCTGTATTCGTTAATAAAGTTCTATCTTATTTATTTACAATTCGCAAACACTATAGAATGATTAAAAAGAATCCTTAAATTACGTACAACGGATTACGTTATTTTAAATTGTTTTTTGGTTTTCATTTATGAATTTCCAAGCCTAAAATGATTATGTTATTTTTTCTTCTTAAACATAAACCGCTTATTACTTTATGACTTTAAATTATCCCCTAGGGTGCAAACTTTGTCCACAATTTCATTTAAGCTGAAAACCTACTTTGAGTGAAAGCTCTAATATTTATGACGTTAATATAGGTTACTACGCGATATAATATACAATGTTTTATTTTATACTAGCCGTAACAACTTCGTATGCGTTAAATTTGGAAATAGTACCACTTCTAGATAATGATTAATACACCATTAAGATAAAACCATATTCCAAATATAATAGAACGGAATAGAACAGATTAGAAAAGAACAGAATGTAACAGAAGTAGAATAGAGTGAAATAGAATAGAATATTAATAGAATAGAAATAATCTTTATTCAAATAGATTTGTTTACAAGCTCTTTTATATTGTCAATTTTTTATGAGTTTACTGCTGGGTTCGGAATGTTGTTTTCTGCTGAGAAGAATTTGTATGGGTACTATGAATGTAATTAGCATTTAGTAGTTATTTATATATATTATTAAATATAAAATAAACGAGCAAATATGAGCAGACCAGCCCCCACACGCAGCTCCCTTTTACGAGTAGAATGAATGAGTCAGCCATCAATGCGCAGATCATTGGACCTTGAAGTGAGCATGACTAGCTTCAAATTACTGGAATACATCATGGGTATAAATTACGTCGATGTACTACCTATTACTCCTTTCCATCCAAAGGTTACCTGAAAAAGATCGCTTTTAGCGATAAGATCGCCCATTTTTTTCTCATTATGATCATTTTTGTAATTAATAGAATAAATAACTTGCAACTGTTTGAACGTATAATAAGTTTACTATTATAATTTTTTGGAGGAAATAATAAAGTGTATCTATCTATTAGATATTTGAAGTTCTTCAGAAATACAATTGTGGAAACCACATTCAGTTTATTTCAGTAATTTTTGCTAGATTTTGGACAATTATAACCTCTTAGATACACACTATATAAATAAAGTTCTGATAATAATAAGTAAAGTTATAAATTAAGTGATGGTTATAGAAACTTTCATCTAAATTCGTATAGCAACTTTTCTTGTAAATATTAATATGCTTATTTTGTACAAAGGCCATGAATAGGTCGCCATGCAATATATGTTTCAAGGGTGAATGTCATAGGTAGAAAAAATATAGTGAACCGTGGTCATATTCCTTAGAAGTAACAACGTATGAGACCTATCACAGACAAGACAGCATATTTCGTAATTCCCCTTTTATTATTCGATTAAAATCAGACATGGCGAGTAGTGCGTTGATTAAAGGTAGCTGTATTGATATTATTGTTCTTGTGTAATTTTTTATAAACTTCCTTTGATCACAGCTTCTCAATCTATACTTTGTTAGACTAGTGGCCTAACTCACAATCCCTTCTTTTGACATTTTTGGATACATTTCGCGTACAATATAATCATTTGTAATCATGAATTCGTCTGTTTATATTGAAAATATTTAATTATTTATATTAAAAATATTTAAACCCCTTATTATGAGGAGGATGTTCAACAATAGAGTTAACGGCTGATACTATAACATACGATGGTTACACATAACATAAATACAACATAAACTTTTATTGCTTAGTTTTATGACGTATCTGTAGAATTGTCGGTGTGTACCTATCTATTGCTTAAATAAATTTTCTGTTAATATTATATATTATTTAGAAATATAATCGAGAGAATACGAATATTATGTAATTCTCCGTATCACGAGATTACAGCACAACCCTGAGACGATGTCAGCTCAAAGAGAATAATAATAGAGGAAAAACATAAAAGCCTATTCTTACATTTCCTTCTAATCCTCGCACACCTGTAATCATCCTTACTTGCTCCATTTCTATAATCTCGACTCACTTTTTGCGAAGAAAACAGAGGTAAGGGCAGGAAATTCATTAGCTAATGTTTTCCGTGTCTGTTTTTATTCTTTGTTAGTCTGCTGTAACAATGTAGCGGACGTATGAGGTCAGTATTGTGGACCGTTAGCCAGAATAGTGCGTTGTTAGTTCGCGACAATGAGAGCAATATATCAGCCTGTGGGAACACGGTACTGGGTAATGAACGCATGCGATCGCTAACACGAGTCAGATGAAACGTTCCCCATTTGACACTAATTGCCAAATCAACATAATGCGTGCTCATTATAAGTTGCCAGACCGCTAACGGAAAATTCTTGTTTGTACGCTACATATTCGTATACGCTTATCATGTACAAAGTGTATATAAATTAATGCTATTAATGTATTAATGTGAAAGTTTGTAACGAGGAACGGATGAATGTATGTATTAGTTAATTATTAATGTATTTAACATATTTTAAATACATTAATGAGACTTAACGCGGTTGAAAGATTTTTTGCAGGTAAATACTACGTTGTGGTTACAACAAGTGCAATCTACGCCAAAACGTCGGCAATAAAGAAGCAGGCATGTAGAGCTATTTACCTGTAAAAAATTTTTTATCGCGTAAGTCACGATAGTGTATTCAAAATAAATGTATGTAGTTTTGTTAGTTTTTCACGCAAAAACTAGTGAACGTATTTAAATGATTTTGGTATACGGGTAGTTTATATACTAAATTAGCATATACGATACTATATGTATTAATTCACGTCGACATGTGACGGTTCGCCTATAGTACAATAGGTTTAATACCATAAGTACATAGAAAAGAAACAGGGGTTCCTATGGGTGACCGCTGCGAAAGCTGAGCTATTTAATATAAACAAACTTTAAAGTCAAGGTTCACAATAGTATACAGAGAAGACGTTCATATATGAAATATTACATACTCCTTTGATGTGTTTTCAAAGTGTAGTGGACGTCACAAGAAAATTAAATAAATTAAACAAAAATATATTATATTTTATATTAACCAAATTATAGTTTACCTTTTTCTCATCAGGTGTAAAAAGGATGCATACAACACAGTTTAATAAGGTTTATGAGAGCCTTTAAAGTTTTATAAATTCGATAATCAATTTAATAGAAAATACCAAAATACGTTAACATATAATTAAATTGAATTTAAAGAAAAGTTCAGTTCGAATAATAGGCTAAATCTGATTATTGAAATATATACCCTTCGGTGACATAATCTATGACATTACTAGATGAAGAGAAAAAAAAAAAAAAAGAAAAAGAGGGAGAGCCGGCAGATCGGCGGGCGCGTGGGGAGTCGGTTTTAGGAATTGCGCAATGAGGAAAGAGAAAAAAAAATGGCGCAGGAGTCGTGTTTTAAGGAACTGCGCAATAAAATAAAAAAATAACTAGGATATAGATCTAGGAGGGACTGGTTCGATGAAGGGGTTTGAGATCTTAGTGTATCACTATCGATTAAGTGTATGAAATTAATCAATAGAAGACTGGAGGAAGCTTGTTCCATTTATTAAATTACGTAGTTAGATTTTTGACTGTGATCACAGGCAAAGTCTATACTTAATATTTTTCCCAACAACTATTAAAATACGTATTTAGTCGAGTCCATATACCTTTAGGTAATGCGTATATCGTTAAATGCAATTACATTTGAACAAAGTTTACATCAATATAATTTACGTACTTACGTTATTCTACTCATATACAAAATCCAATTATATGGTCGTTTGATAGAACTTCATCAATTTTATTCAATGTTCTAATTGTCCAGTTTTGGAAAATACTTATTGAATCAATTATTGAACTATTACAATACTAACTAGTTTCATATCTAGTTATTATAAAGTATTTATTTATTGAGGATAATAGACTAAAGTGACTATGGTCTGGTCTCATTGCTGGGGAAACAGCCATTGATGAGAGAGAGGGGTTATTGAGTGGCGACCCTGTAAAGCGGTGTGGCTATCTCCATTGTTTGGAGTGACTGTTTTATGTGTATTGTGGGGCCGTTCCTTGTGTCAGTCGGTGGAAATTGCCTGTATTCAGTCGTGGGTTGGTGATGGTTGAGACGATGATGATGATGAAATATTTGTATTTATTACACTATTACAGTGTTGGTTTGGAATATCTGTTCATACTTAACGCTTCATGGTGAAGTGTTTTTATACCATTACTCGGTCGACCAGATTAACATTCTTAGTCTATATGATTATCCATGACTAATGTGGGGATTTGTTTTCAGATATACAGCTTAATAAGTGATTTTATGTGGATGTAACTTTTAATACATTATTAATTGTGTTACTAGATAAATTATATATATATATATATATATATATATATATATATATATATATATATATATATATATATTTAATATTGATTTTATTGTAGTCAGCTGATAATAACAATGTATGTATTACTGGTTTCTAATAATATTTAATTATGCTAATATTATGGGTGTGGATTTATTTCCTAATGGTAATAAATGTACTAAAGGATTCTCTGACTATTATTACTCTTAACTAGGTATGAGGTACACAATAAAATTAGTACTAAATGACAAGTGTGAGCTATGTATTTTACTTATATTTAGGAAGAAAGTTGTCATAGCGATATGGTTTGTATGTGTGTTGTTTGTTCATGTTATATTGGCTAGACAAGTTCAGACAGGGTTAATATTAGTGAATCTTTATTGGATTTATATTTAATATACATATTTTGAATATTTATGGGAATAGAATGGAGATATACAAGTAGTAAAATATAATATTAGTATTTTATAAATTTCATATGTTGGGCTGTATCCAAGGAGATATGAACCTATTAATATCAAGTTAGGACAATTACTTTAAATATTAATAAAGCAAACACTAACACTGATTATTTTCTTTAATAAATTTACATTTTAGAAATCAAATAGATAGCATATTGGGAAAATCTTCACCACACATGTATTTGAGGAATGTTCTTGAGAATTAGTACTGTATGTATATATTATTGCAAGTACAATTGCAATAAGAATGTTAAACTTCTAATCTTCTGTTCATTCTTGAATTTGAAAGACATTTGGCTACTGATATGAATATAAAACTGCAGCATTACTGGATACTATTAATTATTTCTGGTGTAAACCATGATTATTTATGTCACTGATAATTTAGTTGTATATTACGGTTGATATATGATGATTTTATATTTAATTATATTAAAAAATACAAATAAACAAACTTGCTAGTATTTGTTACGTTGACAGTTGTGATAGATAATCAAAATTCAATTCAATACATCAATACGTCATTCAATACGTCATTAATGTGACAGATGTCAAACAAAAAAGGAGATTATACACGTTATGATTCTATATCTAAGTCTATAGAAAATTTATATAATTTTCTTTATTTATAATAACTGTAGGGGAAATATTGGAATTATTTATATGAGAAATTTTACTTAAATGATATGATAATTATTTAAAGACCTAATTTCTTAGGGATTTAATCATGATGATTTAAACACTAAAACACTTGTTTATCTGAGAAATCCTCTTAGTAAATAGGTTTACTAAGACACTATATATAGTATAACTTAGTACAATACAATAATTGAGAGACCTACTGTCCTTTCTATACAAATATATATTTAATCTATGTCTTTTACATTATAATTATACAATATATTGCCTCTACTACTACAACATACACAAATAGGACTTATTGTCCTTCCTATATACCTATATATAATAATTGACCTGGCACTTTATGTGTAATTTATCAGTACTTATGACAAAACCAATTAGGACTTATAGTCCTTTCTATAAAGCTACATAATTATTTAATCTGATTATTTCACAATGTGATTAATCAAACCTCTACAAATACTACAAAAGATCTCTATTACTCTCAAAACAATAATAGCTTGTTGGACTTAGTGTCCTCAAACTTATAGAAAACCCAACTGGCTATTTCACGAGACGTTGTTAACTTGTGATTAATCAGTGTCTTTTAAAGGACTTATAGTTCCTTTAGATATATCTCTCTGAATAAATAATTGGTTAATTCACAATGTGGTTAATCAACAATAATATTATATATAATTGACTGACTTATAGTTCATTCAATAGCACTCATTACTTTTGTAGCTCTCGACCTATGGGTTGGACTATCGTTCTTGCCTAATCAACAGATTTAACTTGAACCTTGAGTCTTCTTGGTATTAAGTAAATAATATTAAATTGACAATGCTATGTTATGATATGAGCAATTATCAATATTATATGGCTTGGCTAATTCCAGGGTGTGGAAGGTATCCCCTATCACACAAATCTTCATCTCTATCGGACTGTCTTCAATCTAATGTCACATTATAGGGCCGAAGGGTTATGTCCCAACAAAGTAAGTTCTGGTGTCTGGGTGAATCGCTTCTTGGTCTGATCTCTTTGAAACCCCCATTGACACGTAAAGGGTGACGCTGGGAAAATCGTACTGTAATGGGTGATCTCTATGTCGCCATATAGGACTGAAAGGGTCATGCCCATGAGTAAGCTCTCGTGTCGGAGTGAACGGAAAATTCTTGTTTGCCTCTGGCAAACACTAATTTATACTGGAAGTCGTGGGGCTGGTACACTGTAATGTTGAAGTAAATGTACTTATGTTTGGTATATAAATTCATTGCTATTACCATGTATTAATGTGAAAGTTTGTACCGAGGAAGAGATGAATGTATGTCCATTAGTTAATTATTTTTTTTTATTATTACAGTTATTTGTAATTTATTATTAAATTAATATATTATATTCTAACTTCCTAGTTACATGAATTATGAGTATAATTCATTAATTATTCTTAATCCTTAAATATTTATCAATCATCTTCATTATTTAACTCCTTTCATATACCAATTAAAGAACCTTTTGGTTATTACACACACAACGGGTCCTACATTACTAGACGATCAAACATTTATTTATCTGGCCAAATGATCAAGTGTTCTACTATAAGATTTGTTCAATATTATATGTTTATTGTAAAGGTTATATGATTCATACTTTATATAAGGCAATAAAATGGGGTTATATTGAATTCGTATTTAAATGATTTTTGAGTATACGGATAAGTTTATATACTAAATTAGGTTTTCCATATACGATACTATTTGTATTAATTCACGTCGACAGTGCTGTGGTATATAGCCAGACAAAAATATTGTATGTTAGCTTATGACCTAAAAACAATCTCGTA